CTTTTCCCTTTATACTTATTCTTTCACAAAATAATGCATCATCCATTTTAAATTCTCTCTTATCAATTTTTCAATGATTCCCATTAGGTAAATTCGGAAAGTTTTGTTTTTTATTTTCTTGATTCTTCGAGTTTCCAACTAATGTTATCATGTCTTCTGTACTTTAATAAAGACTCAATTAAATACATTCATTTTGCGCAATGTATATATTTCAATTTCATTCTATTTCTTGTTAAGCAATTTTTATACAAAAAGTTATTGAGAGGATTGTAACTTCTTTTTGAAGTTTACCTGCAGAAAATGGAGATAAAGAGAATATGTTTATGATAAAAATAAAATGAAAATTTCTCTTAGAATCGAGAAGGAAGTTACTAAAGAGATTTGTTGCGCAGATGTTTTATGACGACGATTTTAATAACAGATATTAACAACGAGGAAAATAGATAACATTAAATCAGCAGAGAACAGAATTAATTTAAGTTTTCATGTTCTTGGATAATAATAAGGAAGCAAGCTTTCTTTTCTTTTATGTCACAAAGGATTGGAATACGTAAATGGCGTGTAATATAATATTTACTATAAAAATAAAGGGAGGGAAAAGTAGAGCGATGTTCGACGATTATTACATCTTAATTACTTTTTTAAGACATATTGCACCTGATCAATTCTTTGATAAATTAATTTCAAAATTCTCATGATGTTATATATAAAAATATGACATAGCCATATTTACTGACGAAATTTTAATAAATAGAAGAAAATCTCCTTATAAAATATTAATATTTAGTTTATTCCGAGAAAGAAAATCCTTTTTATACCAAAAAATTAATGATTTATGCATTTGCATTCTCGAACAAATATATTTGATATTTTTCTATCGCTATTTAATTTAACAAATAAATCTCATAAATTCGATAGGTTTTATCATTTCCATAAAAGATAGATCATTATGTTTGCTTTTAGTTCGGTGATATTCATGAATTTAACTTCTTTAAAGTATTAACGTTTAAAAGCTCGTTCGAAAATTGATTTATGTCTGCTTCAACTTACCTCACCTAGCATAAGGAAGTTGATGTCTTGTATTTTCATTTTCTAGAATGGAAGTTCTAAGTTCTAATCCGATTTGTCCTTCAATCGCATCCTGTCGTCGCTAGTATAAATTAACGCAAATGCAAGTTTCGCATACATTGTCGAGCGCGGAATCTTTGAGCAAGCGTATTGTACATTATTGTACATAAAGTACATATTGTACATACATTTTACTCGAGGATTTCTGTTAAATGAAGACTATAATTGGGTCTGAAGAGTATAAAGCAATGACGATCCGTAAATAGGGGGTGTGCCGGCAAGATGCTGTGAGTCATACGGATGCAGCCATTGTGTGTAGAATCGCAGATGAGCGTAAAATCGAACCTCACCGGTGGAAAATGGAATTATTTTTTATTATTATTCCGCGTGCAGCAATTTTTCTGATTTTACTCCTCGCACTGGATATTACACTGGGAGACTGAGATAATATTTTCACAACTTATTTCCAACTAACGAATACAAATTTATTACAAATACACCGCATTTTTGAATGAAATTTTTCTATATTCGTTATTTGTACGTCTCTTTGTTTTAATTGTATCGACATTTATTGTGGAATGTTATTTCATGTATAACATAAACCGTGTAATAAACCGTACAGTTTATTGGTCACTACACAATTATTGACCACTTGGATTTACAAGTTCCCAATTAGATTAATGCCTGCGTTAATATTGCATTTATGTCGATTTTCTCTACTGGAAGAGATTGGACACTTCTATAAAGTTAACCATAAATCACAATTTGCGTAATAAATTCATATAAATACTCAGTAATATATGTAAATTCTTATTATTCGTGAAAAAGCAAATGTATAATTAGACTAACAAATCAATCATTATTAATTTATAATAATTTGTAATAATTTATTTAATACGTTTGCATAATAACATGAAGTATGTTTATTGACATTTAATATTTAATTTTTTGCATCTAATATTTTATTTTTAGTACAGAAAATATTGTTCTGTTTATTTCGCGGATAAAGTATTCGGTACGGTATGCTTTCTTTCATTCAATAATGTTTATTGATTATGAATTCCTTGAATATACATCAGCATTTATTAAGTGCATTATTTCGGTAGAATAAATAACAATATTTTGATTGGGATAACGTACGGTTTTTTTCAACGATATTAGAATTATTAGTTTAGGAAAGTTCGTTTCGGTCTAGGCGGTTCGATTTGCTCGTTTCGTCGTCATGCGATTTATGAAAAGAAGTTAGAGAAATCGACGCTTGGTGAGTATACTACCGGGATAAAACGAGTTGAGAAGAGAGAGAAAAACAAATTGAAATTTCAACGTGTAACGATCACGTGCGCACATTGTTCGCGTTCGGGATTTATCACGCCACTGACGGATATTTGCATTTCCGGCTATAGCAGAATGCACACAAGACGAATACGTCCAGATATTAAGCTCGGAATAATTGGACTCAAGAACAATCGTCGGTATAACACGGAAATTCAAGATAATTACAGATAAAGATCAAAGTTTAAATAATGATAATACTTACCCAATGTCCAAATTAATTTTTATTTTCTCTATTTCTATTATTTATAATTTCTAATTTAAGAGTTATTGATATCTTGCTGCGTTTCCGTTAAAAAAATGAATTCTTTATTAGATTATTCCAAAGGAACAATAAAAGAAAGTTTAAAGTTTCATATATTAAAAAATCTTTTTGTTAAACAAATAGTATGATAAATAAATGACAATAATTCGTAAAATGGGAATATTAATGCAGATATTATGTGACGCGAACCGATTTAATTATCGATTGTCCATCTAGTGATGGCAGTATTATCCGTTTCAGAAACGCGACAGCTACGAGAAAAGTAAATAGCCGCATCAGCATGTCCGTAATTTGAGTGGCGATATTTAATTATTTAACGGTGGATGGACAGCGTGACACGTGTTTGGAATTTCTGGTTTTCGAAACCACATGTTCAGGAAATACTACCGTGAATCGAATGGCACGATTGCTTTGAGTTTTTTTTTTTTTTTCTAGAGTGAAATATAAAATTATTTTCTTAACAATGAAAAACATTAAATTTCTGAAGAATCTTAATCAAGTAGCACTTATTGCCAAAAAAGTGAAGACAAGATACAACTTAAAAATACAGAGAAAAATAAGAACAAAAATAGAAATTAAACCAATAGTGTTTAATAC